ATAAGGCCCGACTTAATTATGATTCATCAGGGATGACAAGCGACGTTGAGCCAGGCAAGGTGCTGGTCATCTCTCCCTCGAGCTCACCTATGAGTCCAATATTTGGAGCTTAGAACTTCAAGAGAGATGAAACTCCAACGTAATTCGTATAAATGGAATTGTAATGGTGGTGTGCGAGCCTCCCGCTGGAAGTATTACATTGTTTGACTGCATTAGTAGGTAATAGTAGGTAATCGAAAGGATCAAAAGCTACACATTACATTACAACTTTGCTTGATAAAGAACTTGGACAGGAACCGGACCCTCGCCCACTACTGGAAGAGTTTCAACAAATTCCTGCCACAATTCCTCCTTACAGATCTTCGCATACACATATGGCTCAACCCATGTCTCACTCAGCAGGTCTTCGAGTTTAGGAAGCATTTCCTCGATGGCCATTATCTCTTCCTCGAAAATTGCCGCTGGCGAAAACGTCCCGCTTTCAACGTACCATCCTACATCACGCTGAGCACAGCTGATCGCGAAGAGTTTAAGGACTGTTTTGTCGACCTGGGGATCCAATGAAGCAGACTCGTAGGCACCATTCGCTTCGACTAACGAGTTTGCTCGTGGAAGAATTATCGCGTTGGCCTTTCTACCACGATGTTCTAAATTACCGCTCGAGATAGAGACGAGCTCAGACTGTAGCTCAGAAAAGATGGCGGCTTCGTGCAGGAAGTGTTCTGGCGTGCGTGGAGGTGCAAGGAAATATCGGCCCAGTAAAAGTTCAAATGCGAGGCCTGAAGGACGAGCCAGAAAAGCAAAGACGTTGGAATAAAGATTCAGATAGACTGACGGATACTCAAAACGAGGGAGTCCCCTTCGGCGATGCTCGCACATCTGATTGACAGCTAGTAGAATATGAGTTCGGCTTGTTCGTTTCAGAAGAGTCCTGCCTGGTCTCACCTCTCCTGGAATGAGTTGATTACAAGCAAACAGACCTTGAGCGCCACATCGTTCACTGAGGTCAGTGATTGATTCTTTGGACAGGTTCAAGGTTATAACCTTGAATACTGTGGCATACGCGTTTCGGACTTGTAAGTGTTCCAAATCATCCCGATTTTCCCAAGCGTGGTCGAAGCCCCCCAGGGTACGAAGCCGTTTGAAGAAGGATGCGAGGACTAAAGACCGGAATAATGCATGAAGGATAGGACGCTGTTGGGTTCGGAAGGTAATGATTGGCACTTTGAGGTACGCCGACCTTTCGCCTTTTGCTGTATGTGGCAATGATATAGGCAGCGGTTTGAACGACCAGGAGGACACTAGAAGACAGAGTCGCTGAACCGATACCCACTCGCCATATTTCAGACAGGAATCGAACACGTTGATGGAGACCAGAATCTAATGAACCAAGAAGCGCGTGGCTTGGAAGAAGCACATGGTTGAAGCGAGTCAAGGCATGGCCAAGAGGCGGCGTTCCACACCGGATCAGGTAAACGCCTGAATTTTTTCTCAGACGTCAACAGGAAAAAAATGATCGGAAAGCAGTCAAAACATTTTTCTTACCTGGCGGTGAACCGGTGACTCCTCGGCACATTGATACACCGCCATTGAGTGGGACGACGAACGCATGTATGCCATGATCTTTCCCTCCAAAGCCGATTAATCGAGCCATCACTATACCGATTCGTGGAACTCCCACATCTGGAAGAGTTGGAGGCATAAACCTGTTCAATGATAAGAATTTTTGGGACTCCAGAGTTATTATAACGTCACCGACTTTTCTGCCCCGCTGTGAGGAGTGTGCAAGTCAAATGAGCCGTCTGGAGGAAGTGTTGCGGTGGTCTCAAGGTTCGGAGCATCCAAACCATGCCCCACTTCTGTCAATAGAAACTGAGCTTTACCCACGAATATCAGAATAGTCATGACCTAAATGTAAAAAAAATGAACTCACGATATATCGAAGTTGACTATCTGTTTTACCAGGGATACCAGGTACTGTGACCCGTGTTTGGGATGCAAAGAAGCTTATCGTTCCAGCACAGAGGTTGAGCTGAATTTCAGGAGTGTGTATGCTGAAAAGTCTTGGAGGCATACTGGATCCAGATGCATGTTCCAGAACTTTTTGCTACAGCGCAAGACATCTTGAGCCCGTGATACCTGTAAGGAGAATGTGAGAGATGATACTGGGCATAGAATACGTGATATGTTCACCGTGCTTGAATGCGATCTCTTTGGCGGTTGCATGTGCCTCATTGAGCCTGTGTAAGATTTCAGTGTTGCCCACTATTGAACTCATTCTTCTGAAGGCTGCCAGTTCAAGGAAGGAAATGTGGTGCGACAGGGTAATCTGGGCTACAGGTAGAAGGTGTAAAGGAGAGGGTCACGATAGTAATATCCTCTTCATATACAACTGACAGAAGCTTCAATCCTCTCAACATAAACTCCTCACCATCTCTTCCAGGTTGTCTTACGGTTGAGCGTTCGGAGAGTGCAGGTTATCAATTGACCTACCGACAGTAGATTGGTTGAAGGAGAGATCACAAAAGGGTAACACCTCGTCGTTGATAGACTTCAGTAGACACTAGAGTGTCCAAATGATGTATTGCCTTTTGTCTGTTGGGTGCCAACATCAAGGACGGAAGAAATCGAGCCAAGTATACATATTAACCAAAATCCTTTGTCCGAAGCGGCCTTCTTGAATACCCTTAGAAAGGAAGAATGTGGGAACATAGACATGCAAGTTCGGTAGATGGATGTGATACAGTGATCGGAGTTCCCATTACCATTCCGAGGGTACGGTCAATGTTATCAATGATATCCCCAACAGTAGCGCAGGGAGAGAACATCCGCATGTACCGGAGCCTCCGGAAATGCGAGATGAATCTTACCAATCGACCCAATGAGCATCAGTGAGGTCCCACTGCTGAGTTCCCGCATTTCCTTTGCCCGGTTCAGTGGGAAGGGAATTTGAGGTGGTTTCGCTTTCATACACTTCGACTGAGGCTGAGAAATCTCGGAGAGGGTGAAGATCCAGAGGCAGTAGTAAGAGGATCACCACGGTTGTTCTTTGGAGATCTTGATGGCCCTCTCTCTTTAAATGTAGACACTGAAATGTATCTCTAGGATGACGTCAGTTCCGTCAAGTTGCCGAAAGGACAACCTGCATGAGAGAACCGTCAATTTAGCAGACAGTGGGGGCCAACGATGATGAGATTACTAAGCGAAGGCCTTTGGATATCCTCATTCAGCGTCTCTAGATCTTTCTCATAGAGGTGCTAATGCTATGCTTCCAGAGGGAGTGAGGAAGAAGACAAGCAATTCAAGCCTTAACCCCCCCCCCCTTTTCTGCGCCGGAGCGGGTTGACTCTACTCTATCCCCATCCTCCCCCCGATACACACCGCTTAGCCAGGCTATTCGAAATGATTTGTTGATATGCAGGGTAGAATTCCGGCGCTCTCTGCGGCGCGTCACTGTGAAAAGTGACCGAAAAAAAAAGGGCTCGACCGTGACACGACGCGATATCGAGCGTCTCCTAGGCTTATAATAGTGGAGAGAGGTCAGAGGGGATATGTGTATATGTTAGGACCCTAGTAGTTGTGAATGATGTGGGGAGAGCGCTGGATTACCTGAGTTTTGGTCAGTCGTGAGGAGGTCAGATTCAGAGTTGTCAAGGTATGCGGTAACGTAGGTCCGAAACACGTTTTTGAAGCAGTAAGCCTCACCCGAGTCTCAGTGACGCCATTTTTCAATTTATCGCAACCCACGTGAGTCTCCCGCGACCATGGGCCTCTAAGCTCTCCCTGAGTCATTGGCTTTCATTTTAGAGCTTTACGCAGTCTTTCATAGTAGCTCCATTACTCCACCAATGACTCAGTCACGATGGATCTATCTCGAGTAGCTTCACGTTCAATTTCGCATTCATTGTAGTGCTCAGCCTTGGCCTTCTTTGCCCAATTTCTATCCATACCCAACGTCGCTGCGATCTTTGTTGTATTTACCATCACCATCACTCCACAAATTACTGTCCATTTCCCGCACACGAGGCTTACCGTATTCTTGAAGGAATGTTGTTTTCTTCGAATGAGTATAATTACGCTTGAAGAGGAAACATGCACGGACTTGACGGAATGAGGCAGTCCGGGTTCGGGTGCAGATGTCGTAGTTACTTCCAGTATAAAAGCTCCCACTCACCGCCTTCAACAGGGACATCGAGTCCGCGCCTCTCGTCTTTTCACCAACCCCAATCCTCCCCTCCAACCATCGTCTCAAATCAACAACCCTTTCTACCCCCTCTGAGATGAGGTACAAAGACTCTGGTACGAGCGGTCCTCTTTTCTCAATCCATGTTAACCAAAGGATTCCGATAACAGAAAAGACCTTCAGCCTCGACTCCTCCACCTCGTCCCTTATCAGTTTACCCTACACTCCAGGCTCTGTCTCCCACGGCAAATCCTTGAGCTCAACACGCCGAAATCAAGCTTCGACTTCAACTGGTACGAAGGGTTGGGGCACTCCCAACAGCACCACTACTCCCTCGATCGCCCACGCGAATGAAAGTGCAGATCGCCGGATGCCTGGTCGTTATGGCGATACCACCGGCACCAAAGGCTTCGGTACCGGTAACCACTATGAATCTTTGAGCTCGAAGCGGAACACAGATGGCTTTTGAAGGGCGTGAGATCTCGAGGTTCTCAGGTGCAACGAGTGGTGAGTCGTCATGGAGTCTCATCTTTGAGTCCATATTCTGATCGCTTTCTATCATATCCCTTCCCACATTCAAGCGGAATCGTTCCACAGACATCCAGTTGACCACGAGAAGTTGTAATGAACCCTATCTGTCGTTGAAACTAAATCACATCACTCGTTACTCGTTATTTGATTATCTATCTTCCCTATTTTATCGTTAGTGCATAGTACGTAGTATCCGTCGTCCGAGCCTATGGCCATTGGTGTTTGTTATAATGGGACGCTTTGCTTTGTCGCAATAGGACCACTATATATTGTTTGACTTGTAATTACACCGTTGGTGAAGTGGTTATCATGCTTGCCTTCCATATGAAATGTTCGACTTGTGACATATGCAGCAAGCGGCTCGGGTTCGATTCCCGAACGGTGTATGTAATCCTCACTTTTGGGTAGCCTTTTTTTTTGCGAATAAACTGTGCATACCGTTTAAAGCTTGCTTCTTTATTAATTGTCTTAGGGTACAAGCAAGGGTCCGGTTTCGATTCCCGGACAGGTGTCCGTCACTATGGCTATCTTCAAGCGAACGGGTGAATGCAAGAGACTCACCTTATTTCATATAACATTCAACGATTTTTGGAAGCATACAGATTTTTTTTCTCGCTTTTGCTTAAAGTAAGCTTCTCATACCGTTCCCAATGTTGAATCTTCAAATCTTCATTTAGCCTCACAGCACCAGCTACTCGCACTTCCTAACCCTTCATGAGAACCTCAGAAGGCAGATCGGGCACCAAACAGCAATACTTTGATCTGACAAATGTTCAAAGACAGGGGATTTAGCAGATCCAAACCATGACACCTTTTTCAGCTCGGTATCATTTCGGGGTATATTTTGAGACTCTTTTGATGGTCTCTTTATTGGAGGGGTATTCCTGGTGATGCTGTGTCCAGCTTACACTACTGATAGTGGACCCACTAGTTTGGCAAGCACACCAAATGTAGTGATTGCTTGTAAGCAACTGAGAACAGATAACTGTGACCAAACAATTTCTAAAGGATCTTTGGCTGATACAAGTTGTAGCCTGCCAAGATAATCGAACAAGATTCTGGAATTTTTATTTAGAACCATTATCAATTTCAGACTATACTGGTTATTTTGCCCTCCCAAAGGTTTACTTAATAGTGGCGGTCAAACCTTTCGATTCACGAGATGAATCGAACAGCACTGAATCGATGTGAATTGGTGAAACGTCTCTTGAGTCGTTTCACACACCTGAATCGACAATTCACGATGTTGATTCAGAGAATTTCGGATGAGCACAGCCTCTGAAACAAGGTCTCGGATCTGGGTTGACCCTCGATTCAGCCTCGATTCTGGGTTACTGAATCGTTCGTCGATTCGCCTCGTGAATCGAGAGGTTTGACCGCGGCTAATGCTAATGCTCTCGGTCTGTGAATTTTCTGAATGTTTGTGAGTCAAAAAAAGGAAATATACAGAATATTTAGAGTCAAGATTTTACTGGTTGAGCTTCAAATATGTTCAGTATCTTTCTCAGGTGTCTATGACTGGCTTTCCTAGAGACTTTAGCTACAGCCAGCCTTGAAAAAACTAAATAACTGTGATACCTGTGGGCTTGAGGCAAGATATTTGAAAAGTGGCATAGATCCAAACATTTGATGAGTCAGAGGGCAAAAATTATCAAAACAAACAAGGAACATATTTGGGAAGTTCCAGCTCCAGATATTTTGGGTATCTCAAGGAAATCTTTGACTTATAATCATTTGCAAGGTTCATAGACTATAAACATAAAGTAGATATGTTAGATTTTGAGGGTTTGCAATTCTGCTGAAATGTGAGTTTGTCCCAGATTAGAGCAAACTGATAAGGTAGGCTCTGATTTATTCATGGTTTTCATACTCTACAAAAGTATCTAGAAAGTTTTATAGCTACTGAATAATACTACTGGACTGCTTAGTAAAGGCTGAGCCTAAGTCTTTCCAGAATGATCTACAATCCCGGCGAAGGGACTTGCAACGGTGAGCTGCATCCATAATCCGAATTCCAACAAGATATACCTAACTTGGTGACAGTTGAGTAACAAATATTCATCATAATCTGAAATTACTGTTTGGCTTTGGTCAAACATTTCAAATGTTATTTGAGCTCAAGAGTCCAAAGTTACCCAAATATTTTATGGCTTGGTTACTATGATGCCACCTAATTGTTGCTTGCAATTGAGTTGTTACCCAAGTAGAGCTCAACACCAGCACTAATGCCTGCAATTTAGAGCAAAGAGTAATGCACATTATTTCTGGATGAGATAGTAGTCAAAGAGCTCCTTTGAAGTTTCATTCAGGGGAGAATATGACATGTCAATCAAGGTTGTATTCAGTGGTGACACTTGGCTTGCTTCACTCTGCAGTATCTGTTTTGCTGGGTAGTAACTTACATACAAGAAATACTTTTTTGAAGTATTATATGTCAGTGGTGTGTGCAATACGGATTCCTTTGCCCCCGAGCTTCTCTGTACTGTGTACTCTCCCCAAAATTCCGCGAGGCAAGGCTCCCTACACCATCAAGATGTCCTGTAAAATGAACAATCTTTTTATGGTCAATATGGTGTTATGTGCAGAAAAAGATGACAAAAAAACTGTGGAAATTTTTACCTTAAGCAAACCTAGATTAATAACTGCCATCAACGTAACTCGAAGAATAGTAGTAGTGTTAACAGAGTTGCCGCCTGTTGGAGGATATAACAAACCTGCGCCTCGAACAGTGAAAGGGTAAAGAATGGGCGAAATGTTGTTACTATTGAAGAGAATAGAAAGGCTTATCTCAACTGTCAGTTTTGTTTCGACAAAGGTTGGGGCTTGAATAGGACGTACACTAACGCAACAAACCAGGTGATCCATAACACTGCGAATCGGATGACCATTTGGTCCTCCGGAGAAGAACGGCTATCAAGGCTAACATCCACGTAATTCAACGGGGAGTTCAACTTTCAACATGACTTGCTAATACTACCTTAATGTATTGAAACCTCATCAAACACAACTCGTCCTGCCAGCAAAAGGATTAAGCTACTGACACCATTGATTATTCCACTGAAAGTTTAATGTTATTAATGAATCTCATGGGCAATTTACGAGGCCGGATCCGAGGCGCAGCATGGAAAAGGAGCCGAGATCGTAACCTCGCTAGGGGTGGGGTGATACCAATCTGAGTGTGAACATCAGGACAGAACGAGCCTACGAGGCAAAATGATTGATGTGTGAACAGATAAATGATGATCAGAAGATACCAAAGAGTGTACGGGAAATGAGAAGCTTATCCAGGTCACGGGAGAATGAGTTACCGAATCATGGTGACGATACCATGAATCTGGCTTCCCCACCGGATTATTAACAAGAACTGATCCCACAAACTTAGGCATAATCAAAGCAGCCTATTTCAGGATGTCGCGAAGGAAAAACCAACTGAAGTTGACGAAAATATCAGAAGATAGCCTACATGTTGGGCAAAAAGGCTACACACAATTCAATTGATTATTCCTCTATCGTCAAAGGTTCAAAGAAAGCTAGAATCGCACAGAACAGATACGGCCATACTCTAGTCGTGACAGATGCAGGGCCCATCTGATCCTTACTCTGAGCACAATTCACCTTATTTTGCCAAAAGGAACCCATGAGCCACCTAAACACTGGGTCATAAGGATCGGAAATGAATGTACTCGCATCTCGAAGTTGCCATCATTATATCATGGATGATGCAGATTCGCTTTGCCAATTGACAAAAACGGCGCGGAAACAGGCACACGTAAATTAAGGATTTACGTTACCCTGGAAATGCTACTATATTTGAAGTTCATATGCAGAAAAACGACCGGATCCTTTCCATATATAGCACTATACCGGTAAACGGAGCCTTTTGCGATTCCTTTTGCGTTCAGAATTACGGTTGGAAAAGACAAATCCTTTCGTGTATAGTGCAGGCGATAAAGAAATCCTCGTGAACGAAGGCTTTCATTCATTCAATACATTGAAGGATGACATCTCCATATCAGCTGAATTCAGAATAAACAGCTGAATAAAAAAAGCTGAAGCCGGAAAACGAGATGTCTTCTTACTCTTCAAGGTCTAGGAAGGCTTGCGTAACTGTTGAATACAATAAGTCATTTCACGAACGCTATGATTCTCCACACTCCCACAAGGCGGGGCCTATAAAAAAGGGGGGATGCCATACGACTGCACAGCACAGAGCCTTAGAGGAAGAAGAGTGTGCTCACACCAGAGCAGGTTCCCTCACAAAAAACAATGCCTGCTCGGTATAGGACCATCCATTCCCCGCCCATAGCGGGAGAATAACAACCATACCAGACCTCCTTATCCGCAATCCATCATCAGCGGGCCTTCGCACGAGGCGGTGACAGACTGACGGTCTTCTAAACCAAGGGAACTTTCCCTCGAAGTGACCTCACATTCTTCCTGTCTTAGTGAGGGGTTCTGCTTCTCCGTGAGGGAGAAATATATATAAGCTCCAACGTCAAAATGGTCACTCGGAAAGCTCAGCTCTTCCTTCCCTCTCTCCACCCCACTGCTCACAACTAGTCATGCTCGTTTCTCCCTCCTTCTTGTGGGCATTTGTCTTTGGAATATTCAAAGCTCCTGCCACCACCTCTGGATTTGACGATCTCTCCATTCGAACGATTCAGTTCGCGTCAAATCACGTTGAAAACCTCCCTGTCGCAGTTATCGAAGGGCTTCGTTCTGCTCCTGCACTCCCCCGTCCTTTATCCTCCGACTCGCTTAACGCTGCACGAGACCCGTTCGCTGACATCCTTTCAGTGACCAAAACGAGTATTTCCGATGAGGCTATTGAAGAACTCCAAGGAAGATATCAGAGGAAACTCTGGGGACCTGGTTTTATTGACATCACGAGCACAAAATTGAAGGCGGGGAAATCGCCGGGGTTCACCATGGTGGATTTCCCCCCTCCAGACCCTTCCAAACATCCCGAATTGGCTCCAATGTTGGCAAAAGTCAATGCGTCAGAAATCAAAGGCTATGTGACTCAGTTATCAACCGAGTTCGCTACACGCTGCTATCGCAGTACGGATGCTCGAGGTCAGTCAAAAAAAAATCTTTTCTCTCCGATTTCGATGGACTGACGGCTTTTTTTTTTTGGTGGTCAGCACCGGCCATTTGGATTCAAAAACAGTTCGCTTCTTGGCTTGGTGATTCTCAGGTCAAGCTAGCGGAGAACGACTTTGATCAACCGAATGTGATTGCGAGGATTGAGGCAAAGTCTGGAGATGCTAACGCTTCCATTATTCTTCTTGGTGCTCATTTGGACTCCACGAGTCAGAATGCATTGGTAAAAGCTCCTGGTGCTGATGATGGTCAGTTTTCTTATTTAGAACGTAATCGACACTTG